AACGCACTATAATACAATACCACATACCTACACACGCTTCTGTACCACGAATTCTAAGGTTTCAATCGGCAGGTGTCAAGCGGTAGAGGGTATATGCTAATTGTGTATTTTTTTATTGTTAGTGTTTTTTTTTATTATTTGTAATTGGTGTTTATATTGCAAGTTATTATTATCGTTTGTTTGTTGTTTTTGTTATTATTATTTTAATTATTAATTGTAAATGGTGTTTTTGTTATTATTAGATGTTATTGTTATTATTGTTTTGTTATCATTGTTCTTGTCTTAATTGCCTCAGTCGAGTCACTCATCACCGTTAGGTAAAGTTTCAATTCCTAGAAGATAAATATTTGTTTTTTATTAATATTGAGATCGGTGTAGACGCTATTCCTTCATTACGAAACACAAATTATCAGAAAAATATTAATATAATCGTCGACTCTTATCACCACCCAGTGTTTACATCTCACCAACATTGACCCGTGTTATCTTTTTTTTTTAATTCCGTGTTGTGTTTTAATCCCGTGGTGAGATGTCTTCTATTAATCCCGTGTTATGTTGTCTTCCTTTACACCAACAGGTTATTTACTCTCCTTCGTGTGTCGTCATATCATCTATTACCCCTTCAGGCTGGTGGTGTTGGGCCGACACACCCACGAGGTCCACGAAGTGTCAACAAACCCAGAGTGTTCTATCCCTCCCGGCTGTTGTACGTCAAGAAACATTGTGACGTATTTGACCACCCTAACCTAACCCCCCCCCCCCAGGTAGCGTTAGGTTATCAGGTGAAATAAGATGGGGGTGTCTAATCTACAGGTGATATAAGATAGGGTGCCCAATCTTCACATGATCCGACATTATAATCACGATAAAAAATTAAATTAGACACTACTGCTTTATTCTACATTACAGCATACTATCGCCATGTTTATTTACTTGTTATTAAAGATTTTAAAGGTAAAAAAAATATATTCAGAGAGCATTAGGAGGCCGCCATGAACTTCTGACGTGCGTGAATATACAGGACTGTGTTCATACCAATTTCATATAACCAACAAAACCATTTTCTAGTTGATTTACATATACAAGACTCAACTTTTTAATTAACTTTCAAAAACAAAACAAAAAAAAATCAACCTGAACAAAAACACGAGAACGATACAAAATTAAATATCACCTGGAGATTAGATAAGGTGTATAATCTTCAGGTAAAATGAATGGGGGTGTCTAAACTTCAGGTAACCCAACAAAAATCTATGAATCTATGCTACAACTTAATAGGAATCACACTATTAGCCTTGCACAGTCATCCCAACAGTGTTCATTTCCTCGCGGCACAGACATAAGAGCATAGGCCCTACTTGGTAAGCCACGCTGGTCTGCCTTCCCATCCAATATGTAGTTCGTCTTGAGCCTTACCACTGCTCTGGTTCCTTCATGCCAGGACACAAGTAATAAAGAACAGAGAAACATGGAAGTAAAGAGGATGGAGTGAGGAATAAAGGAGGCAGAGATATAGATGAGAAAGATGAAAGATGGATCATTCTGAAGCCTAGGAATTATATACATCAACAAACTCACACGCATATACAAGAGAGAGAGAGAGAGAGAGAGAGAGAGAGAGAGAGAGAGAGAGAGAGAGAGCAGAGTTCCACACGACTCCGAGAAAAGTTTATACTGTACCGAGCATGACTTCACAGCAACCAACATTCTATTCAGCAGCGAGAAAAAATAACATATGTATGCGAATTCCCACAAAAGGAAAAATACTTAAACAAACAAACAAACAAACAAACAAACACATATACATAGTACATATACATATCAAACGGACAGCCAGCGGTTTGTGTATCACTGACGTACATACACACACCCACAACACTCAGTACTTATAACCACGTACACACACCCACAACACTCAGTACTTATAACCACGTACACACACCCACAACACTCAGTACTTATAACCACGTACACACATCCACAACACTCAGTACTTATAACCACGTACACACACCCACAACACTCAGTACTTATAACCACGTACAGACACCCACAACACTCAGTACTTATAACCACGTACAGACACCCACAACACTCAGTACTTATAACCACGTACACACACCCCCACAACACCCAGTACTTATAACCACGTACACACCCACAACACTCAGTACTTATAACCACGTACACACACCCACAACACTCAGTACTTATAACCACGTACACACACCCACAACACTCAGTACTTATAACCACGTACAGACACCCACAACACCCATAACTACGTACACACCCACAACCTAAGATAGCCACCAGTCTCAACACAGTATCAAGCTCTGGTCATACACCCACAAATACCCCAGCGGCGAGAAGAGCAACAACACAACACACCCGACCACCACCGCTACCAATGACCCCAACAGCAATTAGTCGTGTAGTTGTGTTCATCAAAGAGTATCATCATGAGTAGGGGTGAGGGCCTGTGGTGAGGGGCCAGGGGTGAGGGGCCAGGGGTGAGAGCCTGTGGTGAGGGCCCGGGGTGAGGGACCTGGTGAGCCTGTGGTGAGGGCCAGGGGTGAGGCCAGGGGTGAGGGACCTGTGGTGAGGGGCCTGGGGTGTGGGCCTGTGTGAGGGACCTGTGGTGAGGGACCTGTGGTGAGGGACCTGTGGTGAGGGGCCAGGGGTGAGGGACCAGGGGTGAGGGACCTGTGGTGAGGGGCCAGTGGTGAGGGCCAGGGGTGAGGGCCAGTAGCATGACCCTCCTCTTCCTCCACCAACACACCCAGCAGGCAAGTGTTGACACCATCACCTAATCCACGTAAATACCGACCTGTTTACTGCAGCATCACCATGTAAACACAACTCACCAAAATGAGGCTTTATTGACACACCATCCACGCCGCCGCTTCATGAACCAGCCCTTGAATGACGACACTGTGGTAGGTGGTAAATAGGACTCTGTTTTTTAAGGTACTAAATAATTGAGGAGCCAGTTTGAAGGCCGGTTATCCCTAATGGCATGAGAGATGTTACTGTACTATCATTGTGGTTAGGTTAGGCTAGGTCAGGTCAGGTCGGGTTGGGTTGGGAAGTGTTTTAACATATAAATTGAGGGGCCCGCCGGTTACAAATGCTGTCTCCACACCCCGCCCCCACTTTACGTTTCCTGACAACTAAGAGGAAGAAGTGACCGAGTATAGGGCCTTAGTTGAACGCTGACTAACAAGAAATTCAGTCGATTGAATTGCAAATACTTTACACGCTTTGAACCATTAGTTTTCTTGGGGGGAAGGAGGGACCAAAACTGAGGCAGCCCCACAGTTTACAAGACCCCAAAACTGAGGCAGCCCCACAGTTAACAAGCCCTAAAACTGAGGCAGCCCCACAGTTCACAAGCCCTAAACTGAGGCAGCCCCCACAGTTAACAAGCCCCTAAAACTGTGGCAGCCCCACAATTAACAAACCCTGAAACTGAGGCAGCCCCACAGCTAACAAGCCCAAAAACTGAGGCAGCCCACAGTTAACAAGCCTAAAAACTGAGGCAGCCCCACAGTTAACAAGACCCCAAAACTAGAGGCAACCCCACAGTTAACAAGACCCCAAAACTGTGGCAGCCCACAGTTAACAAGCCCTAAAACTGAGGCAGCCCCACAGTGTAAGACCCCAAACTGTGGCAGCCCTACAGTTAACAAGACCCCCCGCTGAGGGGCAGCCCCACAGTTAACAAGCCCCCCCAAAACTGAGGCAGCCCCACAGTTTACAAGACCTCAAAACTGAGGCAGCCCCACAGTTAACAAGCCCTAAAACTGAGGCAGCCCCACAGTTCACAAGCCCTAAACATGGTCCTGAACTTGTGCGTCGCTGGCTAGTAGAGACTGTAGTACCGTGATTAGTGTCGGGACTCAGCTTGTTTGACATATTGTTGAAAGTTTGTGTCATAGAGTCAACTCCACCCACTCCCCCTCCTCCACCCACTCCGCCCACCACTCAAGTCACTCACTCACCCATTCACTCCTTCACCCACTCACACACTCGTCTACCCACCCATTCACTCACTCACCCACTCGTCTACCCACCCATTCACTCACCCATCATCACAATAATCAACATATGCTTCCCCGCCCACATACTAATCCCAGCGTCACAACACTACCTACAGCGTCACAACACTACCTACAGCGTCACAGCACTACCTACAGCGTCACAACACTACCTACAGCGTCACAGCACTACCTACAGCGTCACAACACTACCTACAGCGTCACAACACTACCTACAGCGTCAGCAGCGTCACAGCACTACAGCGTCACAGCACTACCTACAGCGTCACAGCACTACCTACCGTACTAGCGTCACAACACTACCTACAGCGTCACGCACTACCTACAGCGTCACACACTACCTACAGCGTCACAACACTACCTACAGCGTCACAACACTACCTACAGCGTCACAGCACTACCTACAGCGTCACACACTACCTACAGCGTCACAACACTACCTACAGCGTCACAGCACTACCTACAGCTTCACAACCATATCAACAGTCACAACACTACCTACAGCGTCACAACACTACCAACAGCGTCACCATACGCCACCATCTACGTCCTGAACAGCCATTAATAACAGGTAACTTGATCACAATCACACCTTCTCCTTCACCACTAAAATAACAATTCCAAATCAGATTTTTTGGCCACAAACAGTAGCTAGTTTACTGTGCACCCCATATTCATCGTGTGAGAGGCAGCGTAAATCATAATATTACCCTCATGTGTCGTACAGTTCGGTTATCCTAAACTAATATACACAAATCTTCATCAAACACCCATACAGTAGTCGTCTTGGTACAAAATTTATAGTACAAATACATATTCTGTCATTCTTTGTAAGAGAAATATACGTTGTAGTTAAAAATATGACGGTAACAATACGATAATGTATAAAGGCCAATAACGGATCCCTAACTACCTGTACAGCACATATGGAAGACTCACCTGGGGTGTTGATGAGCATGCCGTAGCTACCCATGGTGCAGGTGCCTGCTGGACACACGTTGAACGGGATGATGCCGATTTTTAATTTACACGACCACCACAAAATCCCTATCACCACCAGCGATATTCTTTCAGATTAAGTTTTTCAGCAGAGTAACTTGCTGTACCTAAGACGACACAGCAGGAGCTTCTAGTGTGTGCACGGAGACCACGGTAACCTGGTAATGCTCTTTATAAATCCACCATAACTAATCCTCGCGGGATGAGCTGGAGCGCACCACACTCGGGTGAAGGCGACGGAGGGAGCTCGCCCGTACGCCTTGCTTGGCTAACAACAGTATGACAACTGGGGTAGAGAGTGAGGAGCCCACGTTGGTCTGGGGGTTGAGCTGCCACACGCCGCCACACACGGCCTCCCTCAGCGTCTTTGGCTTGTGCTGCCTCAGTGCCTCCTGTAGGTCTCCCACCCACGTGATGCTCCCACGCTCACCTGTACATCACCCACATTGAACTAACACCCAGGTGATGCTCTCACGTTCACCTGCACAAACACCGACAACCACGTGATGGCCCTACGCTCATGTGAACTGCTTGATACCCCCAAAGATCATCCGTACACCACCCACAACTGTATTCACCATTATGTGCAATTTATCAAACCCAACCATACCACCTCCCATCCATCCTAACCCTCACAACTGTTACCACAACCAATCAAGTATTAACTTTCTGTCAGCCCAACCTTCCACCTCTGACCTTGGCAACAATGTCGCCCCCCTCCCTCCCTCCAGTACCTGCTCCAAATTCACCCCTCGTCCCATTTAAAGACCCTCCTGGTGTCCTCTGCTCTCTCTCTCGCTCTCTCTCTCTCTCTCTCTCCAGCCCAGACCTAAACAAAGACCCTCGGCCATATCTTACTTTCTCATCCTCAAAAAAAGTAGAATTGAACTTGTTTCTGTGGCTACACTGTTCAGTCTCCCTCCCTTTCTTCCCCAACAACTATCCCCTCACTTTGGAAACTAACCAATGTCTATCCCATCACCCCCCCCTCCTCCCAAAAAGGGTGAGATATTCTCTCCCTTAACCCCCTGAGTCCCTGAAGGGTTAACTCATCGCCCTCAAAGGGTTAACTCATCGTCCTCAAAGGGTTAAACAGTTGTTACCAAGAGCTCCCACCTTCATCAATTAAACTAGATAATCAGTCACAAACAAAGAACTCCTCAAAACACCTTTAATTAAGAGCACCACCAACTCAGACCCTTGACACACAATACGGTTATCCCTGCAGCCGTCCCAACACACACACCTGGTTGCTCTCTTTAAGACACAAAACCTTCGGGGAATCTTGTCTCGTTGCTCTTCACGCTTCAAAGAAATTTTTAACAAGGTTCAGCATCAGGTTATCTTTACCAAACTTATTTTTTTACTCTCCCTGATTCTTAGATTTCATACATTTTTTCTTCTTTAATATCTAACTAACTGATCCATACATTTGAGGATAGTTCACACCTCCTGAATACCTTTGCTGTCAGTGCTTTACCTAATGGCTCAAGTTTCAACTCCTAGGATCTATACCTTCTTCTTGCTTTATATCATTAACCCACACACCAGTTCACCCAGCAGTAAACATCTCCTCTGTTGGTGATACAGTCATGCACGAAAGTTTACCCAAACAGTCTAATACCCATACCCAGTCAGGTCTCTCAGCAGATCGTCTTAATACAACCTTTAACACAGATTATAAGTCCATAACACAGTGAGACTTAAATAACATTATCACAAAGTCACTGCAATACTTTTTGTTCTCGTCTCCCCCAGAAAAAAAATTAATACCGACCATCACTTCATAACAACACTCTTATACCAGCCACTAATGTCACTATCCATGGTCTTAAAATAATAATAGTCATCTCTTAACAATATTCACAACATAAGATTTTTCTCTCTGTGTTTCAACCAGACTTTTCCTCTGCACAATGACTTACCCTTTACTAGAGTCACGTCCGCCCTCTCGTGAAGTGCCACTCTACCGCTGTTACACAAAGTACTCTTTCAAACTAATTACCCTCATTAACAACCATTACCTCCGTACCTCCTCATAAAAGACTGTTTGTACCTTTTTTTTTTACCTCCATGGTCAATAGGCCTATGTCAATTAAATCCAATTAGCCCCATTTTTTCAACCATAGTCCTAACAAAATTAATCCTACCCATACTCTGTGCACGCGAAGTTCCCTATAGCTAAACTTTGTCATCATTCACCTCCTGCATTCACCATTCTTCTCGACTATGGAGCTCCCTGTCCTCACACACCTATGGACGGTTATCTATCTCATATCACACAAAGGTACATACATAGGCCTATTCCTTATCCATGGTGTGCTCGACAAGGTTAGTATCAATATTGGCCACTGTGTCTATAGCATTGTCCTTCAGACCAACACATTATTATGAAAACAAAAACAGAAAAACGAGATCCTCCCATGCTCACCTTAACAACACCCACGTCATGCTGCTCTCTCTCTCTCTCTCTCTCTCTCTCTCTCTCTCTCTCTCTCTCTTTTCATTTCCCTGACTCTACTTCTCCTCCCTCCCTTCCTCCAGTCCCCCACCACTTCCCCACTTACTTCCTCCCTGCTTTCTTTTCCTGCCTCACCTCCCCATCACCTCCCTCTCTCCCTGCCTCACTTCCCTTTCCCCTTGCCTCACCTTCCCCTCCCTCTCCAAGTCTCGTCCTCACAATACAGTCACACCACTCCAGGCTATCATTAGTCATCTGGCCAACTACACAACTCGGCGACAGTGTTGCTCGAGAATCACGTCATCACGAGATACAAGGGCGATGAATGAGGGTGGAGGTAGGAGGGTCGAAGCAAGAGGGTCGAAGCAGGAGGGTCGAAGCAGGAGGGTCGAAGCAAGAGGGTCGAAGCAAGAGGGTCGAAGCAAGAGGGTCGAAGCAGGAGGGTCGTGGCAGGAGGGTCGAAGCAAGAGGGTCGAAGCAAGAGGGTCGAAGCAAGAGGGTCGTGGCAGGAGGGTCATACCTGTGTCTGCCTGTTGACGAAGGACCAGATGATGAAAGTTGTCCTTGTCGAAAAACAAAAACACGGCGGATCATGCAAATTGGTTCATCAAGAAGAGAGAGAAACGATGGAGGGATGATGACGATGATGATGATGATGATGATGATGATGATGATGATGATGATGACGACTGATTTTAAACTTCCAATCATACAGTCTTCTCATATGATATTGACGAATATTCTTAGAGTTTCTTAATACAGGGTGTCCCAGAAAACACACACACACACACACACACACACACACACACACACACACACACACACACACACACACACACACGTCTTTACAGATGTTCGTGGTGATAGCGTGACTGTCTGTCTTTATTACACCACGAGTGAAGAAGACAATGTTGTTGGTGTAATACACAGACAGACAGACACGCTATCACCACGAACATCTGTAAGGCAGTGTGTGTGTGTGTGTGTGTGTGTGTGTGTGTGTGTGTGTGTGTGTGTGTGTGTGTGTGTGTGTGTGTGTGTGCTTACAACATAAATATCACTGTACAATTATGTATAAATAACCTTCTGTATCAACTTAATCTAAAAACATGTCAGTTCAATAACAAGTATATTACACAGTATAGTTGCTTAATTCTTCACATTAAATATATCTCTATAAGAAATATTTCATGTAAACAAAATTGGTATTAATATATTTTTTACATTATACAATATTTTTACAACTATATGTAAATCGTGTTGTTCTGTTGACAATTACAATAACTTTTTACTTCATGTACCCTAGACTAGTATATTATTATTATTCATTATGCATGTAAGTAATAAACTACTACATTTATTATACATTTTAGTTTATACAGTAATATTGGCTACCAGTTTAGTTTATCCCTTCGTTTCTTAATTATCTACCTTAACACATCTCAAGTCACCTGTCCCTATACCATTAGTCTGTTCTACCTGCAGGATATATCTATTTTTTACTATTTTTTAATGTAATAAAAAAAATAATAATGTCAATAACAACAACAACAACAATAATAATAATAATAATAATAATAATAATAATAATAATAATAATAATAATAATAATAATGTCAATAATAACAACAACAATAACAATAATGACAATAATAATAATAATAATAATAATAATAATAATAATAATAATAATAATAATAATAATAATAATAATAATAATAACAATAAATCAGATACACCCATGAGAGCCAACAGATCCACACAGATATTGAACCATAAATTCTACACGAGGACCCAACCCCGTGACCTGACCTACTGACCGAATAATTCACTCTGTTGCTAAGGTCACCACTGGTAGAGAAGTGCGGTGACTGAGTGGAAAGATCCAGCCTCTTGTCGTCAGTGCCGTTGGTTCGATGACAAGTCACCCGGGTGTAAATAGGCACCTAAATATACAGTTGGAGAAGTGAAGGTGATCGAGTACAGTGCCGATTGTGTTTACCTTCTTGTGTGTGTATCTGCAGTGTCCTTATTGGTGGCCCGTCAAGCCTATCAGATCCACTGTTATTCTCAGGCTGATTACCACCACTACAGATCCCACCACACATCCCTCTCCTCCTCCTCCACGCCATTAATGTAACCTGAGGAACGTTAAAGCTAAGACACGTAGGGCAGAGTACATTAGCTTCGACCATATTCCGAACACAACACATTCTCTCCCCACACCAAACACTGACGAGTTTATACATGATGGCTATTGTTATGATACAAACACTAGTCTGCCCCACTGATCCATTATATTATTATCTTGAGTATCATCATCATCATCATCATCATCATCATCATCATCATCATCATCACTACTAGCAGATCCTGGGTCTTGGCACACAGTAGCTATAGGGTCAAGCTAGCACTGTTAAGGCTGGGTATTGTGTCTACATCGTTTTGTTAGAGTCAAGTTAATCAAGTCATCGCCAGCATAATCACACCATATCTGGGAGAGTGAAGGTTAACAACTTGGCGACGCAGTGAGATATACACGTAAGTTGGTATCCTTTCTATATAAATAAATAAGTTTGATATAAAACCACAAGTATAGGAATACAAATTACTGACTGTTAACATATGGAGGAAAACCAAACTAGTCTTTTAAAATTGTTCTAACTTCTACATTAAACTTCAGATATAATGCATAAAGATAATTAAACAAACACAATTTAATTTTGTTTTCATTAAGGATAAGAGGGAAGTCGCGGCCAGGTGGATACAATGCTCATCTCCCGTCCTAAGGGGTCACTGGTTAATGCTTGAGTTACCCCGAGTACACCCACTAGCT